AGACTAAATCTGTAGAGCAAGATAACGATTGACTGATGACTTAAAAGATTGCAAATTATATGAATCAGGAAAGCAAGATGAAGGAAGCGAATTCCAAAGAACTGATGTTTGAGGAAAAAAACTAGAAGAATAAGAGTTTTTGAAGCACTTAGGAACAGTCACAGAAAAAGGATGAGACTTAATTGAATGGCGAGTAACACGAGAATGAATTTTAGTAGATGGCACAAGGGACGCTAGCTCTTTAGAGCAGTGCCCATTATAGTATTTGTAGAAAAGAGAAAGAGAAGCAACATTACGACGATGTGACAAAGGTTGGAGATTGGCTGCCAGAGCAGGTCCAACTATGTTTACAATTCGTTTTTGCACCTTGTCTAAAAGAGAAAGAGCATCATTAGAAGATCCGCCCCAGATGTGGCAACAGTATTCCATACAGGGACGGATTTGAGATTTATAGAGATAGAGAATAGAATCTGGAGTAAGAAAGTGTCGAGCTCGATAAAGAGATGCAACCTTAGCAGATGCTAATTTTGCAATAGATTTGATATACGGTTTAAAAGAAAGATCAGAAGTAAGAGTTAATCCTAGAAGATGAATGGTAGATGACTCATCTAGTACATTACCATTCATAAATATAGGAAGATCTAAATTATTACGATAACGATTGGCCGAATAAAATTGAGTTTTATCTGAATTAAAGTTCACCAGCCACTGTGAGCCCCATGCTGTAGCAGAAGTGAGATCCTTTTCAAGCTCAGATACCCCCTCCAAGCAATGGTGACAATCGACATGTGGATTTGAGATACCTAAAGATGCAGGAAAACGAGTGCAGAAGCGAAGAATCTGCGCAACCTCAGTTTTAAACAACAGTGGAATTAGCGGATTTTGGAGTTATTTTTTTGAAAGGTAATGGTCTGTTGGTAACAGAGGTGGTGACAGCTATAAACGCAGGATGTTCAAAGACAGTTTTAAATAAAAAGATTTTGTCTGATAAACAAAATAAATGATTGAACTTTTCAAAGGTAGTCACTTTTTGAAAGAAAGGTTCATCAATGTATAGGTTCCGCTACTGTGACTTTTGAGGTTTATAATATTGAAAAACGCCACAAAGTTATAGATTTTTTATCATTTGAAGTTGATATGAGTGTCGAAATGAGTTCCATTAAGTTATTGAGAGAATTTTTATTTCTTCATCAGAAATGGTGAAGTTTAGGGCTAGCTGATGCGGAATATTTGCTAACTTAATTTTTTTAAACGAAGATGAAGTTAATAAAATTGAATTAACATTCAAAAGAAAATGGAAATTGAGATGAACCCGAATGACTGTTTAAAAAAATTTCTCGATGCGAGATACCAAAATAAAAGGCGAAATATGAAATTCATGATTGTGTCAAGCGGAAATGGTTACTTAAGTATGATGAAAACATTATGGGACTGCCCAAAAAAAAAACTCCTTCAATGGCTGCGATTTATTATGCATTAGAGAGAAACTTAATTTCATTAAAAAATACACAAGAGATAAAGATATGTGTGTTGGTAAGTTGAGAGAATAGAGAATAATGGAAAACAAACTAACAATCATGGATCTCCTCAAGGTTTATCTCCATTTGAAAATTTAGTAATACCTTAGGTCGTCCGCTTTGTGGTATTTTTCAACAAAATAAATTGTTAAAAAAACTTAATTTTAGATTAAATGTTGCGCCAATGATTATGAAATCTATTGTGAATGCCATTAATGATTAAGACATGTTGGTGAAGAATGGAAAATCTTATTACGGGAATGACCACTTTATTAATGAGAATGTGGTGAGTCTCGATTGCGTCTAGAGACTTTTAAAAAATATGGTTTAATGAGCGATGAAGAGGAACATATTGATAATGATGGGGTTGCTGTATTGGGATTATATGTGCAATGAGTTGGTGACAAATTATTAAGGTCTAGAAAATTGAGAAAATCCTAAAAAAGTTGGGCATGATAGTAGTGTTTTCAGTCTGTGGACAGTTGGTGGATCATTTACCTGTGTGTCATTGGTTAAAAGTTCTTGATTTTCATTAGAAAAAAAATAGTTGTAAGTTTGACGTTGAGTTAGGACGATAAAGTTTGTGATAAAAACTTAAAAAGTATTTTTCAATAAGCCTGTGCGGAGATTAAAAGTTGCATCCAGTTTGTGGTTGTTAAGCTGTGCATGGGATGGAGAGAAAGGTATGGGCTAATGCAACCTTTTTAGCAATAGGTGCTGTTATTTAAATTGGTAATGCAACTGTGGAAGATACAACATAGTTTCTAAAAAAAAGGTCTGAAATTCAATTAAACTTGGCACAGTTAGATGTGGTAAAGAGAGGAATAAAAAGGAGATTGGTATATAATCTAGACAAAGTAACAATTTTTAAAAATTTTGCAGCAGTGTTCCACTGGATTTATAACAAGCTAACTGGTAAATTAAAATGGAAGTCAAAGGCAATTGGTGAAATATTAATGCGGAGAAGAATAAACGTGTTGTAA